AGATGTGCTATTTTTGATAGACTGACAGACCGAAAATTTAACACAAACAGTATCAAAATTTATTATTTTTGTTAGTGCCCAAACTGGTGCTATCAAATGTAACAAATTTTGCACGGTCCTACACTCATGAGAAGGATTCACCTAAGCCCCCCCCCTGTTGATGATCCTCTATGGTCTGGCCCTGGTTCCACTCGCCAAGACTCTTCGAGCTGCATTTCCRAATGTACCAATCCAACGACTGGTGGTGCAGTACTATGATGCTGATGACACTGGTGCCATGCACGGAAGGGCCTCGGAAATTGCTGGCACCATGCAACTCCTCCTTTGATTGGGCCCCAAAAGGGGATACTTTCCAGAGCCATCAAAGAGTATTTTCATTGGGAATCTGGCGCACAGAACCAGATCAAACAAAATCCTCCAGGAATTTGACTTTGATTTTCAGRACTGGCACTGCTACCTYGGAGGATTCATCGGTACTTGTTCTGCAGCCAGGGAAGATTGTCCCAAGCCACAGATCAACAAGGCSCAGCACAATGGTATCCACAGACAGCTTTTGCAGGTCTCACAAATTGTTGCAGTCCAAATGGACCTACCTCTAACGAGTGGTTCCAGATGTGGCTGATTCTTTCTCACCAGTCAAGAAGGCTCTCACCAAGGAATTTTTGCCTGCCCTACTCAGGGATGCTGTCAAGACCACCACCAATTGTCAAGATTTTCTGACATTCCCAGTGAAGTTTTCTTGCCTGGGCATCCCTGACACCAAGGCTGAGGCCCAGGCACATTTTGACATGTCTGTTGGCGCCACAGGCGACCTAATTGCCTCCCTCCAAAATTCTGAACCAATCAATGCACAGACAGCCCACAAGCAGCGGTTAGAGTCACTCCAGTCCTCATTTGATGCCATGCTGGTGACTTGTTGGTCCCCAAACGTCAGCTGCCGCATTTGACGGGGACAGGCCACCGGTGCATGGCTGACAGTCACACCCCATATCCTCAATGGGACTGTTCTGTCAGCTGAAGAATTTCAAGACAACCTCAGACTGAGATTTGGACTCACTCTGCTACACCTCCCCAAGAGGTGTGACAGATGGAGTGGAAGCTTCACAGTCAAACACACCATGTCCTGCAGAAAAGGCGGGCTCGTCCTCCACCGTCACAACAACATTGCAGGAGAATGGCACCAGTTCTGTGCAGAGGCCCTGACTCCAAGCAGTGTGACTGATGAACCACAAATCCCATTCTATCAGTCACCACCAGCTTGCAACCAGTGTTAATGCAACACCTCTCCACCACCAAGAGAACTCAGAGGCAATCTCTTGGTGCATAGATTTTGGAAGCAGGGGACAGTGTTTGATATCAGGATCACAGATAATGATTCATCCTCCTTTGCAAAGAAGGCTCCACTGCATGTTCTCCAGAACCAGGAACAAGAGAAAAAGGACAAGTATCAGGAGGATTGTCACCAAGCTCACAGGCACATCACACCTCTTGTTTACTTCATTGATGGCATGGAGGGCCCAGAAGCAGTTGCAGCTTGCAAGCAGCTTGCCTCCAGGCTTGCTTCCAAATAGGGATGGAACTACTTGCAAGTTTGTAGCCTTGTCAGATCCAGAATTGGATTTGGTTTGGCAAGAGCTGCAAGTAGATGCCTACAGGGCACTTGCAACACCAGATTGAAATTCAATCAGCCCCTTGATTGGATCTCTCATTTGCTAGATAGCTCCTTGTGGAAACAAGAAGATAACAAACTTGAGGAGAGGAGGTGAGGTGCTTAAAGATCCTGGATGGGTACATTCCAAAAATTCATCAAAATGTTAGCTTGATTAGGATCAAGGAACCAACAACAATGGGCTTGTGAGAACAAGCAACCAACCACAGGCTTGCAAGAACAAGCCATGAGGATATAAATAATACCATGAGCAGCTACTGGAGAACATGCTTGTGGAAGCATCTGGTCTTGAATAAAAAGAATCATCTGTTTGATCATGGGACGCAGCACAAAACACAATCTAGTAGTAAGCAGTGATCTTAAATGAAAGAAAATAACTGTTTGAAAATACCACAAGCAGCTTCTTCAAAGAATGCTGGTAGAAATATCACAGAACCAATGCAATCCAACCCAACCACAGGCTAGGGAGAACAAACCCAAASCAATGGGCTTGCAAAAACAAGCCAGAATAAAYAGGCTTRCAGGAACAAGCCATGAGGATATAAATACCATGAGCAGCTGCTCAACAACCTGATTAGGGAAGCAATTGATCTTAAATAAAAGAATCATCTCTTTGTACATGTATCTCATGACCTTATAATATAGTAAATGAAACCTACTACTACTACATTTTTTGTATGGCCCCACACTTGGATAGTGCTCTATTAATTTGTGTGGTTGGTGTTAGTTGGGGGTGCCTCCTTGCTGTAGTTTCTGATGTCACTACTAATAGTAATTCCAAGCATTCAATCATTTTGGATGAGGAAAATCCAGCAGACTGCCACACCTTATTCCTCAACCAAAAATGTACCAGCAGCAAAAGCAGTAGAAGAGAAGTATATTTTTAGATTGCTCTTGCCATTCATGTACTTGGGTCTGACAGGGAATGCATCCTTCCTATCAATTTGGACAATGCTAGTGACTTGGTCCGTTCATCCCTTCCAGTCTCTCTGGCATACCTTCTCAGCCATAACTCAGACAATGACAAATCTAGTACACAGGAAACTTATTTCAATAGTGCTCTTGTCATTCGTGTCCTTGGATCAGGCAGGGAATGCCTCCTTCTTATCAATTTGGACAACACTAGTGATTTGATCTATTCTGCCATTTTTGGGTCCTGGTCCCTTCCAGTCTCTCTGGCATAGGAAAAGTTTAAACTTGTCTTACAGGGCATATGGAAATGCAGATAATCCAGAGCTTTACTATTTTTTGACACATATGTTGGCCTCTGTGAATGGGGAAGGTTAAACTCAAGATACTAAGTGACATGTTCACCGTCTCCAGTGAGGCTTTTGCAATAGCAATGCTGCACAATGAATACAATACGAGGGTGAATTTTGAAGATAATTAAGTTGACCTGTAAAGAAGAGAAAGAAATTATTTTGTGATGCTGAGAGTGGAACAAAATAGGGTTGGACAATAGATTGGAGACTGTTGTTTTCAACAAGGTTGTGTGAAGAAGTCAAGGAGTTGTGTCAAACCCTGCAAGAACTGGGTTAGGGTTGGAAGCCCTAATGCTAGAGCAGATACAAGATGAACTGGGTGGTGACTTCCTACTACTGCAAGCGCGGCTACTAGTAGTAACCATTTAAACAATTCAACACAAACTTTACACTCCCAACAAGGTATTGCGGCTACTACTGGGCCCCACTCCTGATGAAAATAATAACTGCAATCATTTGGCAGTAGGTCTGACAACAGAACAGGTTAAATTATGCTGGCGATAACTAATTTAGATAGATACAACATGCATGCTTATTATCTATTTTCTAAAACACAGTCTTCTTACTAATTTGTGCTTCCTTTTTCAAATTAAATATGAATTATAGTAAAAATATGAAACACTTGGTTCAAAATGAGAAACACCAGAGGTTACAACTCAACAACAAATCTAAGTCTTTGGGAGCCCRTATGGCTGGGTTTCCTACTACTGGAAAAAATATTAATTCAAGTGAAGAGTTGATTCAGAGAGGGCAGGGTTGTGACAGTGATTRCAACACTATTAGCTTGATCTTCCTACTATCACACCACAATTGTTCTTCCCTGACTCTGCAAAGGGTATTTATGATCTATGTGCAGCAAGAAGAAGAACTCAAAATGTTGCTGTCAGGACCAGCATGGGCTTGACAGCAGGATACTCCTCCAGGGGGTTTCTGTACTTACTAGTGTAATTTGAGTCTCCCTTCCATTTGATGTTGTTTCACTTCTGCCTTGCAGCAGTACTTCTTTTTGCAAGAAGCATCTGCCACTTTGCTGGTCAATCAGTTCTCTAATCAGGTCCAAGTCCAGCATTGCATCTTGTTCAAAATCCTCTTGAACATAGAATAGTTCCAATGGACTTTAAATTTTGACCTGTCTAATCAGCCAATCAGATTGCTTGATTCCTACCAAAATATTGAAATTATCCCTAACTCTACTAAGAAAATGTCAACTTTCAAATAAAATATCTTATGTGTACGGGTACAATTCTGCTTGACAAAAAAATAAGGAGTGGCATTTCTGACTCCTTGTGAACATGTGTAGCCCCTATCAATATAACAAATATCGATCAAATCCCTATAACACCAAGAGGAATATTATGAGGCCATCGTATTGTTTGCAGGGTATCCAACTTTTTTGCGGTGGCTATTTGCCTGTTTCCATCTTCCGTCTGTACGTCGTTTCCAATACTCAACGATTTTCGCACCATTTCTTGTATCGTGTCCAATAGAAAAAGGGACTCAAGACGCGAAAAATTTGCGTCAGCCCTGGGTTCACCCGCCGAAATGCATTAGAGACGTGTAACAAAACACGCGGAGTATTGACAAAAATATTAGTAAGTTGTTGGTTCTCCTCGCCGTTGATGGATGCGGATGTACGGATTGCATCCGATCGTTGGGTTGTCGCGCCTTTCGAACTTGSAATGACCGAAACGGCCGAAATAGATCGCGCCATTAGATTTAACGTCAGAAATACTAACACATGAAACTCATCTAAGTAAAATGTGACAAACGAGTATCTTCGAGAGRGAGATAACTTTATTCAAATTTCGGCCGTGCAACTCCGTGGTACGGAAGAAATAGAAACAAAAAGCAGCAGTACCGCCACTTACAAAGAGTTCAAGATAAAGAGACTACGTACCGTACCGGGTAGTTCTCAATACYGTTGAAGCACCAAGGTAACATAAGACTGCCACCACAATTCACGAATATCAAGTAATTACTGAATATTGAATACTGCAGTAAATTTACCAGAAAACATGAAGCTATTTATCACTTTTTGCCTCGCTCTGTTGGCCGCCACAGCTACAGCCTTGCCACAATGTACTCCCAACGAGACAGACGGTTACGAGAACTGTAAACACGTTTACCAGGTGAACGGAAGCGGATCCGACCTTCTGTATTGTGAATCCAAAGAGGATTGCCTGATGGTCTTCCCCCCGTGGACCCCATCGGATTCCGAAGATGCCAGCAACGAGGACGATGATGACGATGATGACGACGACGACGACACAGTTGAACAAAATATCTCCGCGATCGAAGAGGCCATTGTATCTGCCGCTCCTTCCGCCAGTGTTGTAGCCAGTGCCGTGGTTGCTTCCTCCTTCCTGGCTGCTGTCATGTGCTAAATTTCCTAGATAGAGAGAGAAGGTGAATTCGTTGCCTACAATGTTGAAGAATATCATGAAGGACACGGAGCACTTTTGTTCGGAACCAATGAATACCAGCAGAAAGGGCCGAGGTAGAGTGATCTTCTTGGAGGCGCTCTGTTGTGCTGGAAATACCATTGGACAAGGAATCGCATTTGAGTCAAGGCAACGCCGATAAAAATGAGAATTCAGTTCAGGACGCACAGGATGTTGGGTGTTTGTCTTCAAAACGCTAGAAAGGATCGAAGCAATGAATTGCTATTCGACGAAAGCATTAGCACAAACTAGAAATTATAGACGGGGAAAATTGTTTTGGTTGTTTCCTTTTTTGTTGGGTCTAATACATAATGTATAATAATAAGTAATCATGAACTTCATTTTATGTCTTACTATTTGCTGCTGTTCCGATTGTTGTTGCAAATGTACAAAAAGTGTGTGTGCAGGACACTATTTGCAAAAAACAAGTGGATGCCGACATTATTGAGATATGTAGGGAAAAGCCAAAAGCCGACTGACATATCGAAGGATACGTTGTCGAGCCTTCGATGTTATGATGCTCCACGGTACGACAGAGTTTTTCTCCTGAAACGGTGACAATTACATGGCCGATAGCGCCTTCTTCGATTCCTCGAGTGAAACCCCTGGTCTCGTCATCCCATTCCAGTACTCGGTCTTATTTTGATCTTGCCTTGATTTAACAAAAATTGCCAGTTGGAAAATAAATTTGTTTCTTCATCCCTTGTCGGGAGGTCAGTGGACTATATACACCTTGGAAGAAATCCTACATTTGAGAGGGCTCCTAGAAAGCTAATTCGGTGTTGTCTACATTGTAAATGCCGTTGCTATCGGGGCGAGTGACAATCAAACGAATCCAACGTAATCTCAGATTAGTCTCGACGATCCATTCTGTGACCGAACAAGCTATCCATTCCATGCGATAGAGTTTTGTGGCCTTTGTTATCGTTTGTCACCACTGCCGCCTTGCGGAAGCTGGACTTCAACGCGGGTCGGCGGTGCCCGTTCGGCATTCACATCGGTAGTATCTCGGTATTCGACAGAGATTCCACGGTTGCTGGCGGTTTGTTGCCCGGTGGTTCTGCCGGCAGAGTGACTGCTGCTGGTTCCGCTTTGCTCGATTTCGACTCCCAGTCCCAAAAAAGAAAGCCTTCCACTCCGTAAATCGACAGCGTGGACGATGCTGAGCGAGGCCCGGGGCTGGAGCCACCGCTTGAAGATCAAGGCAAATTTCAGGACGGCCGAGTTTTTGTCGTGATTCCCGGAAGATGCAGAAGAAGAAGAAGAAGACGACGWCCGCAGCAAGGTGCCATCGTGGAAGGTGCTTTCCAGCACGGCCTTGGCGGCGACGTTGCGATTGAATTGAGCACTGGCGCCGAGGGCAAAGGTCGACGAGTTCGAGTAAGCAGCAGCGGCGTTCGTTTCGGCGTTTTTACCGCCTGCCGAAGGAGTACCATCGCGCCTTCGCTCGACCTGGCAAACCCATCCGATATGGTTGCGGACCCTGGGTGCCCGTTCCTCGAGTATGTTCCAAATGTCCCGATCAAAGGCGACGACCTGGCTGAGGTGGAGCATCCAGCTCGACGACGAACCCAGTCCACCACATCCCATGGATTGCTTGAGCGTCAGCCACAGCGGTGGTGGCAAGGATACCAAACGCGTTTGCCCGGCTCCTCCCCCGTTCAGGTTGATCGACAGCAGCGTGTTTGTGACGCTTCCCCAGTTTCCCCCTGCTAGGGCCGAGCGCAGTGGAATGTTTGCGCTGGCCGCCAGAATCGACTCCCGGCACTCGGCAGCCACCCGGAACCGGACGTGGCGTTGGTGATCCCCGCTGTTGTCCGCCCTTGTTTGCTGCTGCTTCCGGCGTTGGTTCGTCCAGTCCGAGAGAAAGTKGCCACCGCCATTGATCTCGAGGGCATTTCGCTCGAGGTAAGCCTCGTGGACGAGGCGCGATGCGTCCAGTCCCAGTTCCGCGAGGGCATCGAGCGTCGTCCCCGTAGCCAGCTTGAAGTTGATTCCCGACCGGTACCAATCGGGGCGGACGGCCTCGGCCTCGATCCAGGAATTCCGGAGCATCCTTTGGAACGCCGCCGCCGACGGAGGTGGCGCTACACCGCTAGCAGGTGTTGTGGTCCAGGTGATCCTCGTTTGGTTCCTTTTGTGGCTGCTGCTGCTGGAAATGTCTCTGGAAATGTCTGCCAACAGTCGCAGCGACCAGGGGAGGCCAACAAAATTTTCCTCTTGCGACCCACCAGTTGTCATCGCGGTTGCCAGCGGCTGGGACAAAAAGCCTTCCGCTCGCAATCGGGAGTGGAGGCTCTTTGTCAGGAAGACGAACGACGGCAGGGAAGACGACGGTGGTAGCACAGCCACTTGAATGCCAATCTTGTTGTTATCGTCTACCATCGAAGCGCTAGCATTTGCAATKGGCAGCGCCACAAAGAGACCCGGTCGAATGTATTCTTCCAGGAGTCGATCTCCCAGGAGGGGCCCCGAAGAAAGACCACCATTCCTTGCAGAACAACACGCCCATAGCAGCAAGTCGGAACCAAGCCCGACCCCACCGCTGGTATTCGAATTTGGAGCTCCGTCGGCAGCAGTCGCAAACGAATGTTCCTCCCACATCCGCTGGTGGGCTTTTACCGAGAGCGGTACATCGGCGTTGTTCTGGTTCGCCACAAAGACGGGGGGAATCAACACGCCGTAATCGTCTAGCAGGCGCTGTTTCCGGCGTTGCTGTCTCCGCCGCTCTTCCTCTTCGATCCTTAGCTTGTCCTTCTGCCTTCGTGAGTTCCCGGGCCTGGATCGTCCCAGCGAAAAGGATATTGTTCCCCCCATCACACGTGTCGTGCTATTGAAGGAATTGAATGATTTTGCTTTGGCTTGTTGGATCAACGAAGGACTAACGGGCAGAATTTTGTTGAGTTCGAGATCGCTCGCTTTGGATGCTTCGAGAGCAAACTTTGGTGTCTCTTGCCAAGCTTTAGWGGTTTATGTTTCAGCTGTCACGGCCAAGACTGTTTGAATCACACATTTAACAGCGGCAGGGCGACATTTTCTTTTATTGGGTGCATTGCTAGTCAAAGATGATCGCACCTTTGGCTGCCGAACTTTTGTGTACCGGTAYGGTGAACGATTACTCATGGCAAGGAGAAACGAGGCTGTGCGACAAAAGAAAAGGGTGTGCCCAATGTCAGGATCGAACTGACGGCCTTTCGCTTTCTCTGTYGCATTATGGATTATGAGACGAACGCTCTGCCTACTGAGCTAACCGGGCACTGTGCATTCATCCAAATAATCATTATATAAAGTACTACAACTGTTGTAATTTATAATCGAATATTGTTGTACMGAKGTGAAACTTTTTGTGGGCACCGTGCCTTCATGACTTCGGTTTCCATAGGAATTGTTAGGGGTTCGATTCCGCCCCCAGAGCTGAAGCTCGGTACTGCTTGTGTGATGTGTCTAACCWTGAATTGAATTGAATTGTGTTCGGATGATAGAAAGGCAGAACGATTCTTCACGAAGTCCTCACATGTGATCCACGAGACACTTTGTAGCCATACACCCTGCCAAGATTGACCTCCTRGATTTATCACGGGCGGTGTGCCTGTCAATGCATTCCACCCGTAAACGTCCAAGAGACACTATTACCATACCACACACCTCTCTTTTGTGTTTCTCCCCCCCCCTCGTGCGCATGGCACGGACCGCCATACATCAAACCGGATTGATCCATAGAAGTTCTTGGTTCCATCGTATTCGATCCTCACAAAACTTGAAAACGACGGGACGATAGAACGTCTTTCTCTACACATAAATATTTGACAATTTGACAAGATGACAACGCGTGGGTGTCACAATCCTGTGTTTTCGTAGTTGAATTCCCTTGAATGTTTTGCGATGCACCGTGGCGTGTCCACCATATCACATTGCACATTCCAACGGAGACTGCAACTTCCATCAGGGAGGGTAGTGAGAAAGGAGAGTATATTTTCGACTCCAACGTTTCTGCTAGGGTTCGCTCATGGTGTCTTTGTGTAGTACCTGGATATGCCTACGTGTGTTTGTGTGTCGTTCGTGTATGTACGTTATCTATTTATGTATGTTTCTATGCATGTTTTTGTGAACAGTTATACGCTTCATTCGATGGCAGTTTCTTCTCTCCTGCCTCCCTCCGGTTCGTCCTGTCAGGTATCTGAAAAACGTCGGAACCAAAAGACGCTGCCGGGAAATCGGGCAGCAAGGTGCTTAGTGAATGCTTGTACGACATTGTGTTCCATCCGCGGGTTTTCCAATCGTACTGGATCGCTCCTCAAAACCAGCGTGTAAATTGTCCTTCTCCTTTGTTCCGTTTCCAAGCAAAGAATTCTTCATGGCAACGACAGAAAAGATGACKCGGAGGACCTGGGCAATTACATCGGCAAGAGTCACCAGTTGTTGATTCTGTTTTGGTGGCGGCATTGACCATTGGAGTTTGACAGCCTTGTGTCCACCCATTTTCTTGTGGAGGGCATTTTGAACTACTGGCAGAGGAAATGACAGGTCGGGAATGCTCACGAAGGAGTGATCGTCGTCGTCGTGATGAAGTGGGCTCTCGAGAGTTGATTGTAAGGGTGTCTCGATTCCTCTTCGCTGGTAGCTCTCTGTGGAATCCTCGCTTGCAGAAAGAGCAAGGCAATCCGGGAGGGGGTCGGATTCATTGCCACGGTGTCTTTCGCTCGGATGCATTCCCGATACATCGAAATGAACGCCAACAACATCTTCGCTAGTCGTGGCGTTCGGTAGTGACGAACGAGCACGGGAACTCGAAACATTCGTTTCCACAGAAAGTTCGCTTGGGGAAGTGCATCCACTCTCGCTTCCCCCTGATTTCACCGTATCGTGCAAGGAATTTCTTCTTCCAYTCCTCGACAGGGGCGACGACTTGGGGGAGGGATAGACCAGGGTGGGGAATTCGCTCCTTTCTTTTCTATGGGGACGATCGGAAGATCGACGCATTTTGTCCCGATGGTAATTCGATGGGGTGYGTTTACTTCCCCCACAAATTTGAAAGCTGCATTCTCCGGATGGAAGGCAGGGAAAGAGAACCGGCCGGGGTGGAAGAATGTCTAGTTCCTTCGGGACTCTGAAGGTGCGTCGAGGAGAAGGCCGAGAAGAATCATTCTCCTTTCTCCTGTTCTTGCCGAGATTACTGTTCGAGGCCACGAAAATTGTGGTTGTCGATGATGGTGATGATGTCGTTGTCATCCTTCTAGTTTTGTTTTGCTTTCAGAGTTTTTAAGCTAGATTGATTGATCGCTTTGGATCTATTGATATCGATGTTGATAGTTAAGTCAACAAGTGGTGCAATGGATAATTGTTTTGATTATTTGGATGTGCCGCGCCTATTTAAGATGTCACATGATTGATCTTCCCGTAACTAGTGATCGTATTTGCTGGTATCGTACATACAAGTACTGCGTGCCGCACTATTGCTTGCTCATCCGTGTTATTCTTACGAACACCTCTTTTTTCTACGAAGTTCTGGTCTGATTCATCTATTCATAACGTGCAACTAGTATTATTTTTAGTTGATGGGTCTCTTCCTGTCTGAGCGAACCAAAACGTTTCTTTTCGGCGAAGGCCAAGGGCAGCAATTATGCCGAGCCGACCACGCAATCCAAACGACTTTTGAAACCCATCATAAACTGAACCGTTATCCTGTTTTGCCCAATGAGAACGGACCTGACTCAGCGACTCCGTACGATACCAGATATCCTACGCATTCGTTCGTAGGGTTCGAAATATGACAGTTCATCTCATTCAACATCCAACGTCTCTCGCTATTTTTTTCATACCGTATTTTTTGTAGTTTTGTGAGAGATGAAAGATGTTTCAGGATCAATTAAGTCGAGTGAGTCGTCTTCTCAGTATTGCACTGTATCTCGTAGTGTACGGTACCATACGTACTCGTATGTACTGTGCATCCCGATCCCATGGTTATTAGTAGCCCTCTCTCTTACGTACCATACCGTAYTTTACGTAGTTGTTCGCAGAGTTGTGTCACTGGTAACTACTGTAGTACGCAAGAACAAACAACAAACCTCCTATCAGAGACGATGCATTGATTGTACTGTTGCATAAAGTTACAAATTACAATGATCAGAGAAGAATTTTCATTGCACAGCTATCAGGCAAGCACCAGAATTTTGGGACTGGTGGATTTGCAGCCTGCCTCCTCCTTCTTCTTCTTCATTTGCTGGAGGGGTTCATAACTTCTTGTTGTTGTTCTCGTTCTTTTTCTTCTTGATTACTGCTGGTGCTACTACTAGTACTAGTAGTAGTACTACTAGCCAGTACTATGAGTACTCGCCCTGTAGAGCAAGAAGAATGCAGATGATTCTGTTATCAGTAGACTCAAAGTACAATCCATGGGCCAGTTCTTGGATTTAAGAATCCTCAAAAGCCTCCTTTTGTTTCGTTAAGTTGAAACCACATTGCACCCTCAATTGAATGCGTAGTACTACTACTAGTAGACTAGAAGATCTCACATCCCTTTTTGCAAGTATCGCGCTCCCTTTCAAACAGAATACAAGGAGAACAAAACAAAGTTTTCCTACGTTCACCTTGTTTTCTTCTGTGTACACGAAGAAATAATACGAGCAGTTGCAATGTACTCAGTGCCATGTTTCTAGTTACTATTGTACTTTTTTCTGAACATGCGTTCGGACTGGGCAAAATAAAGAAAAGTAGGTGTAGAGTAAATCCACCACCGGCAGAATGACATTCCGTTTGAATGAACGAATGTATCATGAAATAAATTGTGCCTCGACAGGATTTGTCGTTTGTTTGTTTCTCCAGTTGTCGTTTGTCCCTTCGTCATACTCGTTTAATTAAGATCGTCGTTTGCGAACATACCGTATTTTTCTGGCTCGAATGCGAACGGATCTGGCCAAGACGCTGCGGCCGGGTTTGCGAACATCTCCAACCATTCCTCTTCCGTCGGGATCTCCGAGGAGGCCTTACTAAGAATGGTGATTTCTTTGCCGATTGCACTGACGGGCTGCATCAGGGCCTGTACCAATCCGCTGGCCAGCGTGTGTCTGTTGGTGCGGTCGATTTCGGGATAGTCTCCCAGGATGGGGAACATTTCTCGAACGTTGCCCGGATATTTCGCAAGGGCGTCCTTTTCCTTTGTGTCCTGGTCGGCGGGTCGTGCGTTGATGGTGTTTCCCTTCAGGACTTGCGCCGACAGCTTGTAGCGATCAAAGGCGCGCTCCCGCATATCGCGGTATTGTTCGAGTGTCATCTGTTGTTTTTTTGGGTATTTTTTTGGTTTTATGACGTATGAGTTGACAGCATTTTCGAACCAAAACATTCGTCAAAATATTATTTTTTGTCGCGTGAAGATCATCAAAACAGTTCAAAAGTTGTTTCATATTAGTGAGAAAGAAACAGAGCAGTGAGGCATGGCAGCAGRTGCGTGAGAATGAGTGGATCAGATCGAATTTGAGAAATCGACAATCATGAAGACGACGGCGGCAAAGCGTCTTGTGCGACTGTTCTGGCTGATTCGTCGTGTGGTGGCCRMCATAATTAGGATGCCTTGCCTTCCTCCCTTATCTGCAATATCTTTGACAAAGCATTGCACTGCATTGCAGAAATGCTACATAAAACGCATGGCAGTACTACTACTACAGAACATCACCGAATGAGCATCGGCATGTACGCACCTTATACATGCCCTCGTCCAGGCCGTAATCCCTCAGGACCGGTGGCCCGTCGGTCGATCCTCCAAGGAGGGATCCGAAGCGAACGATCGAGGCGTTTCCGTCGGCCTCCTTGTAAGAGGGATGGGCCACAAAGGCCTTCTCGAAATTCGACCACATGTCGTCTTTCTTGCTGTCCATGTTAAAGATGGGGATCCAGTTGTTCGCCTTCTCCTTGGTTTGCTTGTTGCTGACCGGCAGCAGGCAGATAGTCCGGGCTGGCTTCCCGTCGGCAAAGGGGGACATGCCCGAGTCCTCGAAATCGATGACCCGCTCGACGAATTCCTTGGGCAGAACGGCCTCCTCGGCGCAGAAGACGACCCCCTTGAGTTCCCCAAAGTAGGGGTCGCCGGCCTCCGGCATGCCGATGGTCGAATCGTCCCGGATCTGCTTGTGCAGACCCTCGGGATCCTCGTCCCCGACGTGGTCCTCGGCGTCCCCCGTCTTGAGGAAGCTCTTGAAGAAGGAATCGAGCTTGGTCTGCGAGGCCACAACGATGGGCTTGAGTCCGGCCCGCGCCATGTGCTTGGCCAGGACTAGCTGCTGGAATCCGGGCCCGACCAACAGAACGGGGTCTCCCTGTTCCAATCGGTCGGTGGCGGAGAGCGATGTTTTCGTCGAAGCACTCGCAATTCGGTGGTGGTTGTTGTTGTTGTTGTTGTTGTGTGTGGGAGCGACAAAGGCACTAGTCGTTGTGGCCGCAAGCAATACCGCGGCAAAAGAAGTCCTGGAAATCATGGTTCTGAGTTGCTTGTTTCGTTTGTTTTGTGTGATATTGTGAGTTATGTCTCCGCAAGGATTGTTGTGTTGTGGGGATGAACCGTGCGGATAGCTTGTGTTGACGGGGTTGTGAGTTTTCTTACATTCTTTTTCTACGAGACAAGGTCGGCAAGCAAACAAGCATACAAACGGTCGAAGCCGAAAGAACGCAACATCATCATTCATCCGCTTCCATACCGCCCAACACTTTCCCCCGTACCGTAGATCTATTAGTACGAAGTAGTAAAGTAGTTGGCATCATCAATCATTACCCGAAAACCGCGAGAAACTGAAATCGATGTGAACGATCGTTTCACGAGAAAGGGGGCGGGCGATCCTTCAACTTGGAATCTTCCACATGGAACCCTTTTCGTAGGAAGATTTGCATCCTCCATCCTCCTAATAGATTCACATCGTACGGTATGGTACAGCAAGAGGGATGATACGGTAATACCATACGTACCATATGATAGTCGCAACTCGCAACACAAGAGTGAGTACATTTATTACTAYGGCAACGTATGATGAATACGTACTCAATCTTGGGTATGAGATAGATGTTAGATACCTCTGCAGCAAACCTACCGTAGACGGCACAGAGTTTCACGTTGTGATCGTTCGTTCGTGTTTCGGCAACGAAAATCGAAAATCTTCGTCTTTTTGAAACATTCCGTCGGTCTTTCACGGATGACTGTTGCATGTTCTGACTGATGGACATGCACGCTGTAGTACGGTATGTAGATGTACKKTACTTATTTGTACCTAAGCTACGCTACGGTGCCGGTACGACGATGATTCGATTCTTCCTCGAACCTTTTTTGATTGGATCTATCCAACGGTAACACGCCGTTGCTTCTTGTTCCAATTCTACGAATCTGCTTCACAACAATTCTTTGGATCGGCTCGTACCGGTACACCATCGAGACACACAAATCGACACACCACACTTCTCAAACGAGCAGTTCGCAACGAKAAACCGAAACCGAAATACAGTACCGAAGCAGTCGAGTTGTTCTTTCATCGATTCGAATCCGTAGAAAATCGACCCCGGCACAGCTAGCTACAATGATTTCCGAGAAACGCCTGTTCCTGGCAGCGGCCGCCGCCGTCCTCGCAGCCAACAATCGCTGCCTCCACACTAGCGCCGCCCCCCTGGACGACCTGATCACCGAGCTCCCGGGCTTTGGCCGAACTCCCACGCCACAGTTCAGCGGATACCTCGATGCCTCCAAGGGGTGCGACACCAAGGTGAACGGCCCGGTGTGCAAGATCCACTACTGGCTCGCCATGGCCGAGAGCGAAGGCGATTCCGAAGGCGCGTCGGACAAGGACAACAACAAGGACAAAGACAAGGATCCGCCCAGAACGGTTCTCTGGCTGAACGGAGGCCCCGGATCCTCGTCTCTGCTGGGGTGGCTACAGGAGGTCGGCCCGCTCATGCTGAACGCATCGGGGGGGCTCATGGAAAACCCCTGGGGCTGGACCAAGGCGGGGGTCAACCTCATGGCGATCGAGGCCCCGATGGGGGTCGGTTTTTCCTACTGCTCCCGGGAGCTAGACGAAAAACAACCCAAACCTTGCGTCAACACGGACACGAACACCGCCGAGGCCAGCCGTGCGGCCCTGGTGGACTTTTTCACCACCAAGTTCCCGGAGCTCGCCAGGGGCGACTTTTACATTGCCGGGGAGTCCTACGCGGGGGTCTACATCCCGACGCTGGCGAAGGAACTCCTCACCCACAAAGACTCGAAAGACGGGGTGGTGCCCCTCAAGGGGATCCTGGTGGGAGATCCCTGCACGGACAACGCAGCCCAGAACGATTCGATGGATTCCATCTGGTACTCCCACAAGTACGGACTCATGGACAACGAGGTCTACGACGTTCTGGCCAGCGACAAGTGTTCCGATTACTACCGCACCAAACTTACGGAGGAACTCATGATCGGGCGCAGGAGCAGGGGCAAGGACCGTTCCAATGCCAGGGGCACGCACTCGTCCAGGTCCCACCAATCCGTTGGAAAGCGATGGTCGAGCCACGTGACGGCTGCCGACCTGAACCAGGAACTGGAAGCCATCGAGGACCTGACCGAGCGACGCCTGGCGGCCGAAGCCCTGTATCGGTCCCGGGTTCTTGGCATCGAGGAGGAGGAAGACACCAAGGAGCACAAGCTCCTCCGATCGGCGGCTTCTGCCACAAAGGGCAATGGCAATGGCAATGGCAATGGCAACGGCAATGGCAATGGCAATGGCAATGGCAACGGCAACGGCAATGGCAATGGCGAAAGCGAAAGCGGACCCCCGGGTGAGTGCAAGCTTGCCTACCGCAAGTTCTTGCTGTCGTCGTCGGATTCCCTTTCCCAGGGATGGAAGGACCTGTACATCGACGATTACTCCCTCTTTGCCCCCGTGACCTCCAGGGAAGACGACCAAATGGCCGACTACTTCAACCGACCCGACGTCCGCTCCGCCCTTCACGTCACGGACACCATGGAGCAAAGCTGGCCCAACCCGGACGTTGGCTTCTCGTATACGAAGGAATACAATGCCTGCAACTGGAAACCGGCCGAGTTCATTCGGTACCCCAACACGACCATGGTCGACGTCTACCGGGAGATCATCCCCATGCTGGACCGGGTCTGGATTTACAACGGCGACACGGACCCCTGCGTGAGCTACGAGGGGACCCGGGAGGCCGTCAAGCAGATTTTGGTGGACGAGCTGGACGGTGGGTCCTACCGGCCCTGGTTCTACCAGCAGGAGGCGGCGTCGCTGGATGTCCTGGCGGAAAAATCCGTCCTCTTCGGACCCGACCTCGTCGCCCAGACCCTGGAGCAGAACCAGTTCGCCGGCGAGGTCACCAGCTACCAGAACGGCCTGTCCTTTGTCACATTCCACGGGAGCGGGCACATGGTCCCGCAGTTCCGCCCCCAGTCCAGCCTGCACTTTTTGAAGCGCTTTCTCTACGCGGCCGACAACGGGTCGGCACTCTCGCCCCTCCTGCCGACCAACGCCACCCTGCTGGCCATGAGCGACGACGACTTTGAGCAGGCCATGGACGATTGGACGGAATCCGCCCGGGACGAGCTCTAGTTCGGGAACGTCGCGGGCGGGCCACGGGGCGAACCGGGCGGCAGGCACACCGGAAGGACGGAAGGAACGAACCAACCCGGATCGCGGGAACGAACTCGCAGCGATCGGCGGAGCCGACTCTTTGGAATCGTTGCCAGCATCGACCAACGACTCTTCTACGATAAATGTGTGCGTGGGCTAATTGCTTGCTTCATACCTGGCTCGTCGGTTAATTAATAAAGGAATGAATCAATGCCGAAAACTAATATGGTGTGAACCCATTACAGTACTGTATTGAATGATCGACGTATGCGATGTAGCACAGCGTTCTCTCATCTTTTATTTGTAGTTGAAATTAGGCGATGGATGCATGCCAGTGCTATGCACGCTGCATTTTATGCTCGGGATGAATCCATGGCATGATATAGCTAACTAGTACAAACATACCAGTGCAATGCAGTCTACAGGTGTTGTCGTATGCATGAACAGTTGRATCGCACGACCTTCGCGATTGAAGAATTGGAGTGGGAAGCTGTTGGACTTGTGCTAGGGCATGAAGTAAGTTGTTGAAGTTAGTTCTGGTTGTAAGTAAGAATGATTGACGATTCATTCCAAGGAGGAAAATGCTATGGKCTGGGCTCTGGAGAAGCGAAAGTTTGCACTGCTTTTGTAGATCCTCATCAATTATCATTGGATTGCTTTTGTTCTTCCCTGTAGGAAAGTAGCAACACAAGATTTCAAGCTGTTTTTGGCATATGAATGTGATTTCACCGTCAGTTGCGTTCCAGTGGTCATTTTGACGTGCTGCTACTTGCACATGATAGCTAAGAGTGACGCATTTTTGAGGCTGTAATTCTCATTATTATTGGTAACTTTCTTCAAAAGAGGTGCACTGGACCATTGTCAATGCAAACTTTAGTTTGCCGTGTTWATAGAGTGTATTTTCATGTGTGAAAATTAACTTTTTCCCGTCTCCGCCCAAATTTGTGCATTTCTAGAATTTTTTTGGAGTTTCCATGATTTTCACCTGTGTAGACTGCAGGACAAATCCTACACAAAATAAGACTGAAATACCCTCCCCAGAAGTTGAAGCTACTGATGCTAATGGGAGGGTAAAGAAGACAAAGATGCTCAAGCTCTGTGATGTCACCAATCCCAACAAATGAAAGTGTGTTCTACATTTAATCAAAGACCAATGGAACTTCACTTCTGGTTACATCCTTGCCTGGCTTGGTATATGCATCTGCTATGGAGGAGGTTTGGGTGGTTCAAAAGAATCTCCCCAAATTCTTTGGGCTTGTCCTGAGGATGGTGGTGTGTATGTTCCCATGGTCAGGAATACCATGAGCAAGAACAGATACGGCTTTGTTGTTAGATGATAGTATATTCATTTTGGTGACAACAGAAGCCAAGTTAATCATACTGACAACCCACTCTACAAAATCTGTACCGTGATGGAGAAAATTGCTGATCGTCTTCGTCTTGGGTGGCATACAAATATTGACCTATCTGTTGATGTGTCAATAATTGTTTACAAAGGAAGATCAATTCAATTTGTTCAGTATCTTCCCAAGAAGCCAATCACCAAGCATGGTATTAAGGTGTACTGTGTGTGTGTGATGCTGACACTGGACACTTAATTGCATTTGAGATCTACACTGATACTAGTGGTGGGTCTACATGGGATATTATTCAGCAGTTGGTGTGTCAATCCAATCTTGGACAACAAAATGGCTGTTGACTGTTCATGGACAACTTCTAGTACACTACATGAAAGTTGTGACCAAGCTAGTACTATATGAAGAATACAGATGGCTATCAGATGATACCTTTGAATTTTTGTCTGGTTGCTTCTTGATAGTAGAGTGGTGCACTGCTGCTACATAATTGTCACTAGCCTAGCATATGATGAGTTGATGAAGAAGGAATGGAATATACACATGCACATTTCTAGTTTGACGAGTACTAGAGCTACTAAGTAGTACAATTGCACTGCTGACAAGTTATTGGCTGACAATCCCTGTACAATTACTAATAGAAATTTTTAGCTCATTTTTACAGTTAAAACCAGTTAAAAAAGGCATCCAACCAACAAAAATACTAAAAATATTTCCATTGTTTCTTAATTTCTCACTAGTAGTCCCAAAATATTTCTATTAGTAGCTAGTGGTCCTTCTTCTTAATACTGGGGATAAGCACTGATTTTATATCCGCAGCAGTAAGGACCAATAATAGGAGGGGGGAGGGGGGAAATAAAGACGGGAAAATAAGAAAAAATGGACACTAGGGAMATTGCCTTTAACTTGCTAGCACTGGAATTATACTTAGTAGCTCTATTGAGTACTGATTCAACGTGTTGTACACAGCCATATTTTATTGGGGTTAAATGAAAGTATTGATAAGTGTTAAAATAAATAAAAAAAATCTTAATATTATATTTAACCTCGTGAGCTAGAAGAGGCACTATATGGCCNGATAGTATATTCATTTTGGTGACAACAGAAGCCAAGTTAATCATACTGACAACCCACTCTACAAAATCTGTACCGTGATGGAGAAAATTGCTGATGGTCTTTGTCTTGGGTGGCATACAAATATTGACCTATCTGTTGATGAGTCAATGATTGTTTACAAAGGAAGATCAATTCAATTTGTTCAGTATCTTCCCAGCAAGAAGCCAATCAAGCATGGTATTAAGGTGTACTGTGTGTGTGATGCTGACACTGGGAACTTAATTGCATTTGAGATCTACACTGGTATTAGTGGTGGGTCTACATGGGATATTATTCAGCAGTTGGTGCATCAATCCAATCTTGGACAACAAAATGGCTGTTGACTGTTCATGGACACCTTCAAGTTGTGACCAAGATATGAAGAATACAGATGGGTATCAGATGATAACTTTGAATTTTTGTCTGGTTGCTTAATAGAGTGGTACACTCCTGCTACATAATTGTCACTAGCCTAGCATATGATGAGTTTATGAAGGAATGGAAGATATACAAATCAAAACACAACAGTAGGAAAAACAAGTTTCAATCTCATCTTGGCATTGCATTGATGAATAGAGGTATTGAAATGGACTGGAAAGCTCCATATGATGAGGGTTCTAAGCCAGAGTGGATGCCTCAGACTTCAAAGAATCAAATACATCACCCTTGCAATTGTGGGATTTGTTTCTTCGTCTGTGTGAACAAGAAGACCAGCACCATTGCTCGTGGAAAGGAAATGTCAAAGCCACATAAAGAAAGATGCAGTGGTAAGTTTGAAGGAGTAAAGAGGAACTATTGTGTTGTGTGTGTACAAGAAGCAAAGCATATGAGGAGGTATCCTAACTCATCAGTGAGGAGATTGAGGAAGTTGCCACCACCATGGATTCACAAGGAATGGTTGCAGAAGTTGCAATGTTGCTGTATGTAAAGAGCATTGGAGTAAATTCAACCATCAAGTGCATGTTGTGATGTGGTGTTATAAATGAATATATTTATATTTGTTAATATCATATATTCTTATAATATTGTTCATAGTGATGAGAGGGGTGTGATAAGTACTAGAGTAGTAGAAGTGTAGTACTAGTAGTAGCAAAGAAAGAAAAAAATCCTAAATTTTCCAGGTGGCAACATCATTTGTTGGCAACACGTGACAGGAAAAAGTTAAAATAATTTTTAATCATGCGCATGCACATTTCTAGTTTGAGTACTACTAGAGCTACTAATTACTACAGTTGCACTGCTGACAAGTTATTGGCTGCTGACAATCCCTGTACAATTACTAATAGAAATTTTTAGCTCATTTTTACAGTTAAAACCAGTTTTAAAAGGCATCCAAGAACCAACAAAAATAAAAATATTTCCATTGTTTCTTAATTTCTCACTAGTAGTCCCAAAATATTTCTATTAGTAGTGGTCCTTCTTCTTAATACTGGGGATAAGCACCACTGATTTTATATCCTTAGTAGTAAGGACGAATAATAGAAATATTTTAGGACTTGTCAGTTTTTTGTGTGGAGGGGGGGAGGGGGGAAATAAAGACGGGAAAATAAGAAAAAATGGACACTAGGGAAATTGCCTTTAACTTGCTAGCACTGGAATTGTAGAAGTACTTCTACTTAGTAGAAGTAGTAGCTCTATTGAGTACTGCTTCTATGTGTTGTACATAGTCATATTTCATTGGGGGTTAAATGAAAGTATTGATAAGTGTTAAAATAAATAAAAAAAATCTTAATATTATATTTAACCTCGTGAGCTAGAAGAGGCACTATATGGCCAGAACCATAGCTTTCGTTAGAAAGAATGCTCCTAGCTGCTCCGAGGTGATAAGTGTTAGAATAGACGATGACACTCTTTTAAGACCATCAAAATAGGGTCACAATGACAGTCATAGGGGAGCGGACGAAGTCCCGAAGTACGGTAAAAAATTCGTGCTTAAAGTACTTCGTTGGTACTTCCTCCGTCCGACAATGACCGTCCGATGACTGCAATTTTACTGTCCGGATTTGATAGTCCCCTAATTACTTAACAATTATGAAATAGTTTCATTTAATCCATTTAACCCCAAATAAATATATGAGTGTGTACAATACGTAGAATCAATACCAGATAATAGAAATGAGCTCAGTTGGAACGAATACTTGTACGAATTCAACGCCGTGAAAGAATAACGCCGACACTTATGGCACAGACGCTGAAGAACGAAATAAATTGCCATGAAATTTAGAGTGTCGGGATTGCTTCTGTGGTGTTTTGTGTCACACAAGCTTGTCCCTATTGCCAACAGAGACAGCGACACCACCACAAACAGTGACAAACTAAATTAGCCGCAGTGGCAACTGTATGATACATATCTTATCGGTGAAAAGTTGTACAGCAAAAAAATACGACCTGTCATGATAACCTTTCCAAGTTGGTTTGTTCCTACTCTGAATGTGTTCACTGCGGTGAACATTTTTGTGTCAGTCACATCGTTGATTTTTGTCAACTATTTTCGCAAAGAGCCCATCGTGGCGATGGGTCAACCGAAAATGCTCTCGATGCTTTGTCTAGCAGCGTTGCTGACCACAGCTGGTTCTATATTCTTATTGCTACCGTTGAATGGCAGAGATTTTTCAATCGCGACGATTAGCACGTTCTGTAGCGTGGATGACTGGCTGTGGTTCATCGGGAACTACATGATCTTCGTTGTTCTGCTTTGCAAGTTGTACCGGGTACAAAAAGTAATGAAGTTTCGACGGAATCAAAAGATTCTTTTTTGGCACCTCGCNCGCCTCCGTTGCTTCCACTAACAGGGGATCCATCGACTCGCCGGCGCCTCTCGCCTCAAAGCAAAGAAGCGATTCAACAATCAACCAACGGTCGGTCGTGTTGCTCTATTTGCCGTTGCTTGTTTTAACTCACTTTTCCCCCCCCTTGGTCCTTTCTAAAGCAAACAAAGAAACAGCAACAAGATGGTTGATACAAGCAATACTGGAGGAGCAAGCGATACGGCAAGCGATACGGCAAGCGGAAGCGGAAGCAGTGATAGCGATACGAGCCCACAAAAGCTCAGGCTTTTAACGGACAACGAAAGAAGTGCAGTTCTCCAGTTCCTCCTACAAAATCTAAGGAGTAGTAGCAGTGAAGGCAAGCTTCTCAAGAGGGGAGCTGTTAAGGATGCTGCACTACAGTTCAACATGTCAACCAAAACCATCTCTAGGGTCTGGAAACGGTACAAGGAAACTTATGATCCAATCAGTTGTCCTGCTGGGAATGTCTCCAGTAGAAGACACTTGAGTGGTCGCAAGCCAACACCCGTATCAGATCTGGATGCACTCCGCACTGTTGCGCACAAAGACCGAGGTGATCTACGCACTCTAGCGTCTGCAACTGGGATTCCTAAGTCAACTTTACATGTGCTTGTCAAACGTGGGAATATTAAGAAGCACAACGGAAGCACAAAGCCCTTACTGACACCTGCAAATAAACTTAAGAGAGTTGAAT